ATCCCGCCGTCTCACTGCGGACCCGAGGACCTGGGTGTGCCTTCACCCTCCCGCGTGCCCTGTTGCAGACCAGCGACCTGATCAAGCACGTGCGGGAGGTGGACGAGACCGAGAAGGAGACGGACAAACGACTCAAGGCCATCAACGACGGCGAGTTCCACGTCTCGGACACGGCCATCGAGGAGCTGCGAGCCAATGTCAAGTGTGAGTGGCGCAGTCGGCCGCGCCGAGCAGGGCCGCTCCGGTGTCGGGTGGGGCCCCTCCGTCGAGCGCGTGGGAAGGGCGCACGCCGGACGGGGCGGACAGTGGGACGTGTTGTGGTGGCTTGTAGTGGACTGGCCGTCGACCGTTGGTGGGTTAGCTGTGGCGCGAACGGCCTGTCGCGTCTCTCTGTCCATCACCATCGCTGCGCGTCTCCCTGGCAACGCTGTGGGCCTGCCGAAGGCTCTCCGCACTCGCCGTGGTCCCCGACAGGCCCGCAGCCCTGGGCCCCTGGCGGTCCTATAGCCCTGGTCCGCGGCAGTCCCACAACCATTGGTGTCCTGACAGACGTACAGCCCTTGGGCCCCTTACAGTCCCACAGCCCCCGGTCCCCGACAGTTTTACAGCCCCTGGGCCCCCGGACCGTCCTGCGGTTTCGGACCCCGACAGCGCTACACCCCCCGGGCCCCCGGCAGTCCTACAACCCTTCGTCTCCGACAGTTCTACAGCCCCTGGTCCGCGGCAGCCCCACAACCCCTGGCCCCTGACAGTCCTACAGCCCCTGAGCCCCTGGCAGTCCTACAGCCCCTGGTCCCCGACAGTCCTACAGCCATTGGACCCCTGGCAGTCCTACAGCCCCTGGTCCCCGACAGTCCCACAGCCATTGGACCCCTGGCAGTCCTACGGCCCCTGGGCCCCGACAGCCCCACAGTGCCGGCTCCCCCACAGCCCGTCGTCCCCTCCAGCCGTCCTCACCCGCCCGCTGATCGCCACGCCTACCGTCGGCAGCGCGTTCGCAGTCGAAGCTGTTCGTCAGCGAGCTGGAGGAGGGCATCCGCGCCGTGGAGCGGTACGTGTCGGCGCTGGACCGCGAGATCCAACAGCGCGCCGAGCTCATCGAGCAGCTGGAGCGCAGCGAGATCTACTACGAGACGCAGCGCAACGACGCCAAGGTGGTGGCCGTGGTACGTGGTCGGGCGGCGGTGGCGGCAGCACGCGGGCCGGGCGGCTGGGCGCCGGCGAGCGCGAGGAGACGCTACGTCGCCAGCTGCGCCTGTCCGTCGCCATGTTTTGGTCCGGCGGCGTGGACGGCGACATGTGCTTGGTAGGCCCCCGGGGCTTGATTAGTTTTGGATTAGAACGTTTCGCTTGCTATTTGTTAGATCACGACGGTGCCTGATGTTTCGAGATTGATGGCTATTTGGAAATGTGTTGACATGCTGTTTTTGATATGGTATTATAGTTGTTAAACTGTTATTCGCTGTTCTCCATTCGTGGAGGGGAGGGGAAGTCCGTTGCCCGCTTGAAGCCGCGCCATGTCACCCCGGTGGACTGGGGCACCGGGACTGGACGTGTCTGCTCGGTGCAGTGCAGTCCTTCTACGCGCAGGCATACAAGAACTTCAGCAAGCGGGTGCGGGAGATGAAGAAGAAGGTGGAGGAGGGGCTGCCCGACCTCCCGGACGTGTCGCCGGTGCCGTCGCCAGACATCAACGCGCCCTCGCCGACCAACTCGGACGACGGTCTGCAGCTGCCCGACGACGGTACGGTCTCCGCTGACCTTAAGTCATGTCAGGTCAGGTCACCGACGTCCCCTACACCGCCCGGGACCGGGCCGGTCCTGCACAAACTCTAGTCACAGGGGTGTGGTCGGCAGCTGGGGTGGCGGACCCAGGGGAGCACCCGTCCGGCTCCCTCTCCCTGGCGATGCGCCTCGAAGGCAGCCCGTGCTTGGGCTGGGCTGCTTGTGTTCTGGCGTACACGTCGTACATAACATTTCTTTGACCGTATTTTGTCATGGGATGACCTGAACGTGTTGATGTTTAGACCAATGTTTATTAATACTTAGTTGACATCACCATGTCTGGTAGTTCAGTTGACGTGCTGGATGACCTTCGTGGATAATTTTCACTGTCTTGCAGTGATACCTTTGAGTTTTTGGTGCATGTACTGGATTGAGAAACCTGGTAGGAATAAAAACAAGTGTGTTCGCGCAGTTATTGCACTTTGGCGTTCCGTCTTTTGGCTTTAATATCGTGATCTTCAATGTTTGGGACACTCCACGGTCACTGTTAGTCGCGTTCTTTTTTGAACCGTTTTGTAATTTGGAAGTCTTGTAACGGTTTTGTAGTTATTTTCTTCTATTGCAAAGCGATGGTGATTGTTCCCTGAATTGTGGATCCGGAGAGACCGCGATGAAAACTGCGCTTCTTTTTTGAGTGCATGACATTGTACTGTGCTTTGTTGTTGGTTCGCACAGTCTGTCGAGAGGTCACAGGGTCCCATCACGTGCAGCCGAGACATTTGTTTCCACCGCGTGGAGGACGAATCATGGACTGGTCCGTTTGCATGGTTGGGCTCGGCACACATTTACTTGCTGCTTTTGGGAAGCCTGACTCCACTACAGGGGCCAAGATTGTACAGTCACGTGCCAGTCGTCGGACCGTCTCCAAGCGTCGATGAGAGATGCGTTGGGCGGTGTGTGGAGCGCGTCCGTGTGTACAGCGGCTGCTGTGTGTGTGCATTCAGCCGGGAGCAGCGACAAGACGGACCCGCGGTCGGAGATCGAGCGTCTTCTCGGCAGCTGGACGTCCGGCAACACGTCCAACAGTCCCAAGGTGAGAGCGCTGCCGGGTGACGCGGCGCCTCCGCTCGGCCGCTGTCAGCACCGGACCCCGACCGTGGCCGTCGCCTGGTCGTGGCCGTCTCCTGTTCCCGGCCTTGCCTGCGCCGGTACGTCGGCGGTCCCTGTCAGCCCGGTCGCTGCACGTCTGGTGCTCTCCCCGGCTCTCTGGTGTCCGTTTGCCATGGCCGCGGCGGCATCAGGGACGCCCAGCTCGCTGTCTGCGCGTCAGCTGGCTCACGTGGTCGCGCGGACCCGCCGCTGCCTGCCGGAGTAAGTACGCCAGCTCTCACACGTAGCCTGCCGCTCCTGGAATGATCGTCGATATTGGGCACGGGGTGAGGCAATGTTCGAAGGCCTGCTTCCGCGTAGCCGTCGAAAGTTAGCTTTACTCGTCCTCGGCTCCACCGATCGTACCTGGAGAGTGGAACGGCTTGGCAGCACCACGGCTGGGATGGTGGGGCTGATAGCCGGGTCCCGTCGCCCGTCATCTGTCCAGCTCCCTCGTGCGCTGTTCGATCGCTGCTCGTGTGCGAATCACAGGATGACTGTTACTGGTGTGAATTCGGCCATTCAGACCATAACCCTCCGTCGTTGAAAGTTGACGACAGCCTGTGTCTCGAGTCGTATCGCCCGCCCCCGCTCATAGCTCGGCTGTCCGCTCCACGCCCCCTTGCGCCCTCGCCTGGCACCAGCCGGTCCGTGCCACGCCTGGTCTCGGCCGGTCACCGGGCCGCCCCGGACCGCCCCCACCCCCGACTGGTCCTCTGACGCCGGCCGGCCGGCGCGCGTCGTCAGTCGACAGGCGCGCCGGAGAACGGCGCCCCGTCCGGCCTGGCCGGCCTGGCGGCGGCGGCCGACGGCGCGGCCGGCAGCTTCCTGGGCCTGGCGGCGGCCGGCGGCGAGCCGTTCCCGGCCGCGCTGGCCGCCGACCTCTTCCCGAGCCGCAGCCCGCTGGCGACGCTGCTGCCGGGCCGCGACACGCCGCCGCCGCCGCCGCCGCTGCCGCCGGCGCCGGCGCTGCCCGCCGAGTCAGGCTCCAGCATCACGGTGGTGACGGGTGTGCAGCAGGGCGGCACCGTGTCGGCGCGCGACACGCCGCTCGAGGACGATCACGACTATGTGAGTGCGCCGGTGTCCGGCCGGTCTCGGCCTGGGTCGCTGCCGCGTGGGCAGCGTATACGGCAGACGATTCGTCGCACCGCTGGATGAAGGCTGCTGTGCTCTTGACTTTGGAGTGTATCCAATTGTCTGATTTGTGTTTGTGTTGCGTGTCTTACATGCGTTATGAAGCATGCCAATGTTGTATGCAAAAGCGCGCTGCATACACGCTGCGAGTGACCGGTGTTCCAGCCGCGTCAATCCCTGTGTCTGAAGCCGGGGTATGACGGCCACGCCCTGCGCCGCAGGAGGACGACTACGAGGCGGGCCCGTCCGGTGGCCAGCTGTCCGACTTCATGCGGCTGATCGGGCAGAAGCTGCAGGCGAGCGCGGCACCGGAGCCGGCGCGGACGTTCACCAGCCAGCCGCCGCCGCCGGCCGCGTCTGTCGTGCAGATTCCAGGCCTGGACCTGACGCGGCCGCCGCCGGCGCTGCCCGGCGCCTCCCAGCCGCCGGCCGGCGCCGGACTGTGGAGCTTGCCGCCGCCGGTGCCGCCGCCAGAGCGCGCGCGCTCCTGGGAGGAGCCGCCCGACGCGCCCTGCTCGCCGCCCCAGTACGAGAAAGGTAACAGCGCGTATAACTCGCAGATTGACCTCCCCCCAGCGTTCAAGGCGGTGGAGGAGAGCCGGCTGCCTTTCAGCACGGACACGGACCACCGCGTGCTGCCGCCGCCGCTACCGGTGCCGCCGCCCACCGCCGCTGCCGTCGCCGCCGCCGCCGTGCCGTCAGCCGACTCGGACCTGCGGCAGCCGTCGGTGGCCGACTCGGACCACCGGCTGTGGGATCGCAGTGTGGACGACTTCATCTCGCAGGTGACGGACAGGGATTACCGGCGGCGCGGAGACGAGGACTACCGGCCGCCGCTGACCGACCTGGCCGGCGACGACGACCACCACTCGCTCGACATGGAGATCTCCGACGACGAGGGGCGCCGCGCGTCCGGCGGCACGCCGGGCCGCGCCGCCCCGGTGGGGACCCCGGGCCGCGGGTCGGCCACCGTCCCGACCGCCGAGGTCATGGTGGTGTCGCCGGGCGCCCCCGCCTCGGCGGCGGCCCCTCCCGAGCTGGTGCACATCGACGACGACGAGCCGGAGCGGGACGTCGCCGCCGACGAGGCGGAGGCGGACGAGCCGAGCCTCTCGAGCTGGTCGTCGAGCGTCGGCTCGCCTGAGCCGGAGGAGGGCCGTAGCGAGCGGCACCGCAGTCGTGAGCACCGCAAGAAGCGCCGCCGCCGCGACAGCGCCGGCCACCGGCACAAGAAGGAGCGGCACCACTCGGCCAGCCGCACCGGCAAGCGCGACCGTCGGCCGTCGGGCGAGGCGCGCCGGCGACGCTCCGACAGCGACGAGCGCGACGAGCGCCGCCGCCGCGACAAGCACGCCGTCAGGGCCAAGAAGAGGCGCTCGTCGGAGCGCGAGAAGGAGCGCCCGCGCGACAAGGACCGCGAGAAGGGACGCTCGCGCGACCGCGACAGGGAGCGCGAGCGCGAGAAGGAGCGCTCGCGAGAGGAGCGCGAGAAGGGCCGCTCGCGCGACCACGGTCGCTCGCGCTCGCGTTCCAGGGAGCGCGACCGCAGCGAGGGCCGGCGCCGGAGCGGCGGCGGCGGCTTCGACTACAGCCAGGTGGGTGCCGGCGCGCACAAGGCGGGCGGCAGCGGTGCGACGCACCGCGACAGAGGCAGTCGGCGTTGGTAAGGCCGGACTGAGCGGGGCAGGCGGGCTGCCAGTCGACGACACGTGTTTGCAGGGATACGTAGGCGGTGGGGCGTCTTTGGCGAATGGAGGCTGTAACCGAGTTGACGTGAAGCTTGCGTTTTGACTGGATGTTCCAGCGTGATTTATGGATTTCTTTGTTTCATTTTTGCTGTTCACTTTATTGGCTTGCGTTCGGCGGGCTGCCTAGTTAAGCTTGTATATCGGCATTTTGCTGTGACGACCGGCAAGTGAGCGTTGTATCCGACGTCGGAGATCGCCGTCCGCTCGCCTGCGAGCGAGCTGTCGCCTCCACGCGGCGCTAGCTCTGTACGAGTCGGCGGGCCGGCCCTGTGCGCCGGCGACATGTCGCGTTCGCGTGATGTCGGCGCTGTAGTGACCTGTGCGGTGCGCGCGCGAGCAGTGTGTGTGTGTGTGCATGTGTGCACTTGTCGCGCCGACGAAGCTGTCTGAACGGGCACGGTGTAGTAGAGTAAACGTCCTGTCCGCGCCAAAAGAACGATGCCACGTCGATCTCTGCTTTGATTGGAGGTGGGCCGTGCCGAAAATGAACGTGCGCAGACCATCGCTTGCCGATCCGTCGGGACTCGGCGCCTTTTGGTCGCCGCATCTCATTCTCGGTGACCTGCTGAGCTCCAAGGAGGGCATGTCCTAGTTTCGATAGAGAAAGGTTAAGGAGAGTCGACAGAAGTCTCTTGATCGGCATTTGGCCGTGAAGAAGTTGTAATTGGGAGGCTGTTAATAGTCGGTGGTGGCAATGTTATGAAAAAGGGCGAATAGGGTTGGGGGACTGCCCTAAGGAACGTTGAAAGATTGGTTCACAGGCGCAGGAGGACTTGAACCCGTGAAAATAGGAGGAATTGACAGCAGATGAGCAGTATGGTCCATGGGCGACTTAAAAACTTAGGCGCCCCATGAAAGAAGACCGTTGCCGGTGAAAGAAGGGGGTTTCTGCAGTAGACTAGGAGACCAACCCATAAGAGACTGGGAGACAACGCTGAGTCGGGGACACTTCGCAGGACAATCTCGAATACCCTCTCCTAAAACCCCTCTCCAGGGCACCTTAACAATGTTCCATGGAAGATGAGGTGAATGTTCTATACGATCCACAGACGAATTGGCGACCGTTCCGCTTCAGTGTGTGCGTGGGGGGGGGGGGGGGGGCTATTCCACTTCGTCGCGCGCAACTAAGTCAACTCTGCGAGGCGGTAGGAGACCTTCACATTTGGCTTGAGGCCTGTTGCTCGGCAGGAAGGGTCTTAGGGGACTGCTTCACGTGAGACCAAGACTTCCATGGGGGACACGGGCGATATGTTAATCGATATTTAGATGTTTTAGTGGTCGACTCCGGAATTAATGCGTGGGCATGTGCAGTGGCAAAGAATGTATGGAGGGCCTGCCTTTGGCGATGGGTGTGTAGATGGTGCAGACCCCCCCCCCCCTCCCCCTCCTCCCCCTGAGGTCCTGCTATGTGCTATTTGGCGCTCCCAGACAGCAAGGCGATGTCCTGGAGCAAAGAGCCCTGCGGTGGCCGCCGCATTTTTGGTCCGCCGCTCCGACCACGAACGTGTCACGTCCGGTGGTGCAGCAGGTCCTTGTGCAGCTTCCAGATCATTCATGGGGCTGTCAACGGACACCGGTGCAGACAGCCACGTGGGCGCGCTGCCCACTGACGCCCCTAGAAAAGACCAGAGGCTCCACGGCAACCTCTGCGCCGCTGCACGGTGGACGAGCATGTGGTGGCAGCAACGTTGGCCGGCCTGTGTCGTGTGACCTATTTGAGGCCTGAGCTGGTCGTTTTCTGTCAGGTTTTGGGTGGTGTCAGCGATAAAGAGAACGCGGCCTTGGCTTCGGTGCTGCTGTTTACGCCAGTGGTGAGGGATTTAGAGGATACTGCGCCGTCCGTCAGCTGGTCAGATCAGAAGTGCTTGTTGGTCAGGTCAGTTTAGAATCGCACGAAATTGTCATCAGATGGATGAATCCCCGTGGCTGATATTACAGCCTCTTCAGGTCGATGCCAGCTGGCGCTTAAGTAATCGTGGAAGGCAACGCCGGCTATCCGCTTGATAGGGATTTTGAGCGGTTTACTAAAGTTTCTACTGATGTTTCGGAGGAAGTTGTGGAAATGATTGAGGTCTTTGCTGGAATTGTAGAGCGTGGAAAGCATCTGCAGGAGGTGGAAGCTCGCCGGAAGAAAATCAGCACTTATTGAGCGTTCGCCGGGCACTGAGACGCGTAATGACCAGGGGCCACCAATTTTTGATGGGGGGACCAAGTCGTGTAAGATCATCAGGACACTTGAATAAAGGGAAATTAATAAGAGATTACGCGTCTTCTAACTGGCGTTTTCGAAAATGATCATTGCTATGCAAATCCCACATGTGTCTGGGGTTGCGCCACCGTGAGGCGTGGGGGCTCGGAAACCGGGGAGGGGGCAGGGGCTGAGACCCACGACTTTCTGAAAATCTAGTATCGACACTTTGAACGTGGACTGGAGTGAAACAGTCCAAATGGAATGAAACAATATTTTGTTTCCGCTCCATACGGGCGGAAACAAAATATCGCCGTGTCGGAACCACTCAGTGCAGTGTATCCAGACCAGCAGCAGTGCCAAAAGTTTCGCATGGTGATATTGCATGCATTTTTATGTCGTAGGTACACTCTGCCCTGTACTGTCGGTTCCAAAAGTGTTGATGTTTGCTTGTGGAAAAATCGTAATCGAGAGGAAAGCCGGCCTTCTATTATGCTCTTCATAAAGCATCCCAACGATGCGCTGCTTGAGGATCACAGAATTCGCATATTCCTTCCAGGTTCCAAAGCAACGCCGCTTATGGCGGTGTCTAAAGCGCAGCCAAACGTTCTTCGGCCTGATGAGTTTGGGCTAGCAAAATCGATTGCGGCGTGGACTGGATCCATTTGTCCCTGGCGGCGAGGGCCAGCACGTAACGCACTGCCGCTGCGTTGTCCATGCGCTGCGCGTCACCATTAGGCGAAGGCAATTTTCATGCTCTGTCGCGCGCTGAAGCTGTGTTCAGGTGCGGCTGAACTGGCAGGCAGATATTGAGAAGACGACCAAGGTTGACGAATTTGGGGATGGGTTCCCGCGCGTGGTGCGTCACATTTTGAGTAACGGACAGGGGAAGGTAGCAAATTAGCCACCAGGGGCTATATCTGCCCACTGGCAAATGCGAAGGGGCGTTTCCCTCTTGTCTCGCTGGTGGTGCTGCGCCGGGGTGTGTCTGTGTGGCTGGTATTCACAGCTTCTGCGCGACCCGGAATAAGAATATTCCGAGCTTGAAAAGAGTGAAAAAATGAATGAAACCGTATCTTTTCGGGTTACATGACGACGTAGTGTGCTTCAAGCAAAGCGCATTTCAAGTATGCTTTCATGTAAAATGCGGGTTGAAAACCCATGACGGGCTGGTTGGGACATGTGGGACCCCTTAAAGTTTTCTTTTTTCAGTACGCCGTGGAAATGAAACGACACAAAGCCCGCGAAATCTTTAAAATACCTCCAAAATCATGCGAACTTGGATATAATTCCTGCGTAATCGCGTAGTGCCTGGTGTAAAGCTCCTGGCACAGTGGGCTGGGCTCCCTTTCACACTACCCTCGGCTCCGTCCAAAAATTTCCCCGCATTTTTTTCTAAATATTGTCCGCTATTGTGGACGGTGTTGCAGCTCAGGTCAGTGACAGGGGCTAGATGAACTGAAATAACTTCAAGAAAACCATTTGCCACGGTTTGGTATTTAGCTAATAGCTCATTTTATTTAAATGAGTTAACCGCTGAAGGAATTTCCAGGAATCGAAAGATATAAAGCGTGTCACGCATGTGCCTGATTGGCAGTGATGCGGAGAATACGGGCCCCGTCACCCGGGAGTAATACTTTGAAGTCGTGTCTTTCCAGTTCGGCCAGCTACTGAGGGAATACTTACTGAAACCCGTTCCGCTGCAAATTATGAGACCATAGAGGGCTTAAATATTAAACAAGACTAACGAATGCGCATATGACACGTAACGGGGCGCTTCAGCAATGTTCATGAAAGTTGTCCATAATTAGACAAGCTACCAGGGTTCCAACTTTCGGACTTCCACCTCATACTGATGTGGGCTACCGCAGTGACTTGCTTTGCATTTAAGATATCCCCGTTCATTGAACGGATGATACCAAAAAAGCAACTTAAAATTTCGCGTTGCTCCGCGCCGGCGTTTTTTTCTTCTTCTAAGCCTTGGAAGCGTTAAGAGGATGGATTTCTGTCGCGCCGGCTATCGTCATCACTATTGGGGCTGTACGGTGCACACAGCTGCGGGGGCTAAGTGGCTTTGCCTGTTTCTCACCCTGGCAAGAAGAGGGGACACCGCGGGCCGTCCCTGGCTGAGACCGGCTGAGAGCTCGTTTTCGTTTCAAATCGGAACTTAATTGCACCAACACTGTTGGAATGGCAATTATTCCAAGAGTAACGATGCTGGTTTAAAAGTCCCCTTCAACTGCAAAATTCATCCAAATTGCCGTACAAAGTGTCGTTCCGGGTCCCTGGAGTACGGTAGGTAAAGAAAAAAAATATTCCGGCCAGGGGCGTAGTTTCGCAAAATAAGTTGGGGGATGGAGGATTATAAAAATTGTTCCACCTGCACCCAGAGTATGTACACAAACAGGCTCCTCCGCGGGTCCTGCTCACTTTCTTCCCAAAGACGGAAGAGAGCTGAGGCCCAAAGTGGGGATAGGCTGAAGCCTGTCCAACTGAAAAGGAAACTGCGCTACTTATCTCGCGCTATCATGCGAGGCACCTATGCACAAAATGTAGGTGCGGTATGAATGGAAAGCATACGCAAAGTTGCGGGACTGTATCTATTTGAGTTCTAAAGCTTCTGCAAAAACACGATTGAAACGCTGATAGCACGTGACGG